TCCACACCCTGCATGATTTTGTACTGCGGGATGCTGAGCTCTGCCTGTTTCTCCCGCAGCATCTTGCCCCCGTTGATGCTGTGGTAAAAGTAGCCCGCCACCTTCCTGCATTTCAAAATCAGCTGGCTTGTAGCAGTACTGGTGGCGGTGCCGTCACCAGCAGCCCTGCCCCCCTCCAAGGCATCCCTCACTATTAGGTGCAGCCTGTGTGCCACACAGTGGATGCCAACAAAGCTGGCATCACGGACAGCCTTCACCATATTGGCCCCGTTGTGGGTGACCATGAACCCCTGGGTGAGTTTGGCCTGCCCAACGAGCCATCCCTGCAGCATGCGGTTCATGGCCCCTGTGATCTCCCTTGCCGTGTGGGACTCATCCACCACCTCAGCTTGCAGTAGAGCCCACCGACGGCCTGACTGATCGCATCAGTGCCCCATGAGGGAGAGGTAGGCGTGATTGCCACCCCGGCTACTCCACATGTCAGAGGTGAAGTGCAAGGCTACCTGCAGCCCTGCCTTGCACGGCTCCTCCCTCAAGTACTTCCTGCATGCCTCATACAGGGAGGGGACCACCGCCCTGCTAAAGGTGGTGCATGCGGGAACTTTGTAAAATGGGGCCAGAGGTGCTATGAACCACCTGAACCCTGGCTGCTCAGCTAGGGAGAAGGGCTGGCTATCCAAGCAAGCATCTCCCCAATGCTCTGGGTGATCTCACTCACCTTGGGAATGCGCCCCGCTTTCTGTCCACCTTTCCCCCACTGGTACAGGGTGGCCTGTCTCTGCTTTGTGGGGAAGGGGGTTTTGGATTGAGCGGGGGACTTCCTTTTTGGCGCACACACACTGGTGCTAGGCTGAGCAGGAAGAAGGGCACGGGGGTGCTGCTTCCTGAGATGTAGCAGCATCGCCGTGGTGAAAAAGTGTCTCACATCCTTGCCACGGCTCATGTGCCTTTGGCAGTGCTGGCAGATAGCAAACCTGGGATCATCTGCCAGCTCAAAATGGCCTCACACTACACTACTCCCCCACTTCTGGGTTGAGGCTGAGGATCCTGCCTTATCCCAATCCTCAGCAGGCTGAGGCTCAACAGCAGGAGGAGCTGCCTCAGCTGAGCCACTTGCCTCCACAACCTCAGCCTCCTTTGAGGTGCTGCTTTCCAGAGGAGACCTGGGTCTAGGGGAAACGTGAGGGGTGTGGAGCACAAATTCTGATTCCTCCTCAGTCCTCAGTATTGCTTGAGCCAGCGCACTCAGCATCACTG